AGACAGAGCCTCAAGCTGTCACCCTGGGTAGAGTGGTGTGGCATCACAGCTCACAGCAACCTCCAACTCCTGGGCTCAAGCGAGTCTCCAGCCTCTACCTCCTAAGTAGCTGGGACTACAGGCACCTGCCACAACACCCAGCTATTTTTTGGTTGCAGCCGTCATTGTTGTTTGGCGGGTCTGGGCTGGATTCGAATCTGCCAGCTCAGGTGTACGTGGCTGGCACCTTAGCTGGTTGAGCCACAGGTGCTGAGCCTATACTCATTTCTTAATAGTTCTGAAATGTATCATTGCATCATGCACACATTAGATGAGGTCCCCCCGAATACCCTCCCTTCTCCCATATCCCCACCTCTCTCTCTCCTCTTCCCTTCTACTTTATGGACTATAGTTAGGTTTTACCATTTGTACGATTGTGTAGGTGGTTATATATTGATTTCATGCCTGGCTATTTTTTGGTTATAGTTGTCATTGTTGTTTGGCAGGTCTGGGCTGGGTTTGAACCCACCAGCTCCTATGTGGCTGGTGCCCTAGCCACTGAGTTACAGGCATCAAGCCTAGTTTCATTGTTGTTTAGCAGGCCTGGGCTAGGTTCGAACCTACCAGTCCAAGCGTATGTACCTGGTACCTGTAACCACTGAGTAGGGTGCCAAACCAGCGGAAGCATTCTTGAAAAGCCAAAAGGCTAATCAGGCCTGATACTGTGATCAGGATGTCCCTCAGATTTAGCTGCAGAAATGAAATAGGAAGCCAACTCTAAGATATCTGATCAGAACCACTTTTAAAAAGCGGAAGGCACAGGCAGCGCCTGTGGCTCAAGGAGGAGGGTGCTGGTCCCATATACTAGAGGTGGAGGGTTCAAACCCAGCCCCAGCAAGGAAAAAAAAAGCAGAAGGCATTGAGCACATTCAGATCTGGTTCACAGTATTTGCAAAGCATATGAGAGATAAAATGCCATACTCTAAGTGAGGATATGCAGAAAGTCATCGCTGTACCCAAAGGCAGTGAGTGAGTGCTTGGTAAACATTTCTGTTAAGCAGAATTATCCAGGTATAAGCAGCCCCAAGCTTAAAGACTCCATGATGTCAGGTACCATGGCTCTCTACATAATGTCATTCTACCATCTCTTTACTCTCATCTGGATGGTTTGAGACATATTCTGTAACATGTATAATTTTAAAGAGAGAGAAATATTATACATAGTTTTGTAACTCAGTCTGACTTTTAAATTAAAACAAACAAAAAACAAACTAAAGACAATGCCTCAGACTAGAAAGAGAGCTATGGTCATCATAACATTAACACTAATTCCATTCTGTTCAATACTAGGCAACCAAGTAACCATCTTCCTCTCCAAACCACTCACCTGGTCAGTTTAATGGTGTTGTCTAGGGAAGCAGAGAGCAGTAAGCCTTTGGACGGATTGTTGAAAGCCAGTCCTCGGATCTGTTTGCCATGCATTGGAATGTACTGGCTGCTTTTCATGTTGGCAGTACTCAACATCTTAACACCAAAGCCTGCCAAAGATGACAGTATGAAACAGTTCTTTGGGTCAATCTGAACCAGCTGGTCAGACAAAATAAAATTAGCCAGTGTTAAATAATTTACTTTAGAAAGTATAATATGGGCAGTGCCTGTGGCTCAGAGGGTAGGGCATCAGCCTCATATACCGAGGGTGGCGGGTTCGAACCTGGCCCCAGCTGAACTGCAACAAAAAAATAGCCGGGCATTGTATGTAGCAGGCGCCTGTAGTCACAGCTACTTGGGAGGCTGAGGCAGGAGAATCGCCTAAGCCCAGGAGTTGGAGGTTGCTGTGAGCTGTGCCACCACGGCACTCTACCAAGGGTGATAAAGTATATCACATTTAACAAAAAAAACACAAAAGTATAATCCAAGGCCAGGCAAGGTGGCCCACACCTATAATCCTAGTACTTTGGGAGATGAAGGCAGGAGGATCTTTTGAGCTCAGGAGAACCTACTAAAAATAGAAAAATTCGGCTCAGGGCCTGTGGCTCAAGTAGCTAGGGCACCAGCCACATACACCTAAAGTGGCAGGTTCGAATCCAGCCCAGGTTCGCCAACCAAAAATGATGGCTGCAACCAAAAAAATAGCCAGGCGCTGTCGCGGGCGCCTGTGGTCCCAGCTACTTGGGAGGCGGAGGCAGGAGACTCGCTTGAGCCCAGAAGTGGGAGGTTGCTATGAGCTGTGATGCCACGGCACTCTACCCAGGGGGACAGCTTAAGGCTCTGTCTCAAAAAAAAAAAAATTGGCTGGGCCTGGTAGTACGCCTGTAAGTCCCAGTTACTTGGGAAGCTGAGGTTAAGAGGATTGATTTAACCCAAGAATTTGAGATTGCTATAAGCTATCATGACACCACAGCACTCTACCCAGGACAACAGTAGACTCTGTCTCAAAAAAAAAAAAGGGAAAGAAAAGAAAAAAGAGTACAATCCATTTCCCAAAGTCCATCAGCAGGTAAATGGATAAACAAATCTATAGTATACATATATGATCTATGTACATAATAAAATACTTACACAAAATTCTAAAAAATACGAACTAATCTCAATGACAAAAAACAGATCAGTGGTTACCTGGGGATGGGGAAAGGAGGAAGGGATAATTAGAAGGAATTACAAAAGGCCACAAGGAAACTATGAGATGATATTCATTACCTTGATTGTACTGAAAACTTATCAAATTATACACATTAAATAAGCACAATTTTGTTTTTTTTTTTTGAGACAGAGCCTCAAGCTGTCACCCTGGGTAGAGTGCTCTGACATCACAGCTCAAAGCAAACTCCAACTTCTAGGCTCAAGCGATTCTCCTGCCTCTGCCTCCCAAGTAGCTGGGACCACAGGCGCCCACCACAGTGCCCGGCTATTTTTTGGTTGCAGCCATCATTGTTGTTTGGCAGGCCTGGGCTGGATTCAAACCCGCCAGCTCAGGTGTATGTAGCTGGCACCTTAGCCGCCTGAGCTACAGGCGCCGAGCCTAAATAAGCACAGTTAATTGCATGTCAATTATATTTTAATAAAGCTGTTGTATGAGAGAGGATATGTGTAAGTAAGAATATTCCACCTGGACCAGGTACAATGGCTCACACCTGCAATCCCAGCACTTCGGCAGACTGAGGTAGGAGGATTACTTGAGGCCAGGAGTTTTAGCTTGGGCAAAATAATGTGAACTATCTCTACAAAAATTTAAAAAATTGACTCAATGCCTGTAGCTCAGCAGCTAGGATGCCAGCCACAGTACACTGGGGCTAGCAGGTTTGAACCTGGCCCAATCCTGCTAAACAATGACAACTACAACAAAAAAATAGCTGGCCATTGTGGTGCATGCCTGTAGTCCCAGCTACCTGGGAGGCTGAGGCAAGAGAATCGCTTAAGCTCAAGAGTTTGAGGTTGCTGTGAGATGTGATGCCAGAGCACTCTACTGAGGGCGACATAGTGAGACTCTGTCTCAAAAAATAAATAAATAAATGAATTAGTCATGGCTAATGGTACATGGCTGTACTCCTAGTTACTTGGGAAGCTGAGCCAGGAGGAGTGCTTGAAATAGAAAAAACAGGAGTTTGTGGTAACTGTGAGCTACGATTGTGCCGCTGCCTTCTATTCTGGATGACAGAGTTAAACCCTTTCTATACAAAAAAAAAAAAAAAAAAGAAAGAAAGAAAAATCAATCAATTTGCTATCACAGCCTAGTAAGAGAACAAAGTAATAATTTAAAAAGGAAAAGTTTTTGTCTCTCCTCCTAACCCCACCCCCGGAATGTTACACATCGACAGAGTACTCGAAATGTCTTCTGTTTCGTTTAATTTCAGGGAGAAATACTGCCTACTGTACCCTGACAGATTTATTTTTACTAAGTATCTATTATCACTACATATCTGAATTGGTAAAAAGGAAGACTCTGGCAAATTCTAGATTCAAAATAGCCTTCAGCTTCTCCAAGAAATCAAGTATGAAAATATTTACTGTTTTCTTCTGAAACAGAAATAGGAGACAGACAAAAAAGGAGACTATAAGCTTTAAATCAATAAGGGAACATGAATAGATGTCTAATCATTAAGGAAAACAAGAATAAATTTTTTTTTTAAAGACAGAGTCTCACTTTGTCACCCTTGGTAGAGTGCTGTGACATCATAGCTCACAGCAACCTCCAGCTCCTGGGCCCAGGTGATTCTCCTGCTTCAGGGTCCCAAGTAGCTGGGACTACAGGAGCCCGACACAACACCTGGCTATTTTTTTTGGTTGCAATTTGGCCAAGGCCAAGGGCCAGGTTTGAACCCCACCACCTTTGGTATATGGGGCCGGTGCCCTACTCATTGAGCCACAGGCACCCTCCCAAAAACAAGAATAAATTAGCAGCAGAAGGTTATCAAGCAGAGCTAGCTGTGCAGAATGAAGTGGACACTAAGAAAAAACAATAGAACAGGTGGCGCTTGTGGCTCAAAGGAGTAGGGTGCCAGGCCCACATGCCAGAGGTGGCGGTTCAAACCCAGCCCCGGTCAAAAACTGCACACACACAAAAAAGCAATAGAACACATACCCAATTTGGGAAACATTACAAGAAATACAGTATTTTTCCAATTCATGGGAATTTTTTTTTTTGAGACAAAGTCTCACTTTGTCACCTTCAGTAGAATGCCGTGGCGTCACAGCTCCCAGCAACCTCAAACTCTTGGGCTCAAGAGATCCTCTTGCCTCAGCCTCCCAAGCATCTGGGACTATAGGCGCCAACCACAACGCCTGGCCTATTCTTAGAGACAGTGTCTCACTCAGGCTGATCTTGAACTTATAAGCTCAAGGCAATCAACCCGCCTTGGCCTCCCAGAGTGCTAGATTATAGGTGTGAGCCACCGCTTCCGCTGTGGGAAAGCTTTTACTTGATAACAAATCTTTTTATTAAAATCTTAGATGGGAGGCTCAGCGCCTATAGCTCAACGGGCTAAGGCGCCAGCCACGTACACCTAAGGTGGTGGGTTCGAATCCCCAGACCGGACCCGCCAAACAACAATGACGGCTGCAACCAAAAAATA